AAGTAAATAAGTAAATAAGTAAATAAGTAAATAAGTAAATAACTAAATAAGTAAATAACTAGATAAGTAAATAGGTAAATAAGTAAATAAGTAAATAAGTAAATAAGTAAATAAGAGGAAAGGAAGACGCGCGAACGACAACGTCTGATGTGCGTGTTGGAGGATCTTTAAATGGGGGTAAGATGCACCAGGGTATCGCATCTCGAGGTACGCCGAGAGGAGTCCACGGATCATTACCTATACTTATGGATGCCTCATTATGGCCCATTACCGGTGCCCCGTATCGGCTTTATTATATACTCCCTGGTATAATATTTTTTCTCTCTCCCACCGCTACTCACCCTGCCTTTTTATCTTATTTCCCAAAAATTTTTTTCTCGACGTGCCTGGATTCCTTTTGCGTCATCATCTTGCTCTTCCAACTTCCATCGCTTCTATGCCAAAATCATTTTTTTCATAAACACTGGGTTGTTATCTCTCCACTCCGTGCGCTGAATTATCTGATCGTTTAGGCAAATTTATTGGGTATTCACACTTTTTTTTCGTATCGGTTTCTGGTGGTGGGCATGTTAATTCGGTGAGTCGATGGGTCGTAGGGATTTTTGGGGATTTTCGGGAGACGAGTCATTGCGTTAATTGAGAATTTTTTATATTTTTGGAGAAAGAATGTCGGGAGTTGCTGAATAATTTTTGTTTGTGGGTGGATCTGCGGAAATTTAAACCGAAGATGCCGAACGGTCTGAACATTCCGTAATTGCTTTGTAAAATTTCCCTCAACCACAGACAATTAGAAATATTCATTTCAACTGATTATTCCTCTTCGCTTTACGCGATAAAAATTCCTTAGGGAATTTCCAGGACTAGAGAAATCAAAATTATATTCGGTGAAACATGAAATTGTTTTATTAAAACCTATTATAATATCCGAAAGTATTTTCCCCTGCTAGAGAAAACGGAGAACAAAAAATTAGCACAAAAACCTCAAAAATGGCGCATAATTTGCAGTTCGATAATTTATACAAATGAAAAAAATGAATATTTGAATCAAATATAAAATATAATTCAGCAATTTGATCGACTTGGCAATAAAATTGAAATAAAAATAAAATGAAACATATAATCATCTCGCGGATGCCTCCAGCAATTATACTATTATACAATAATAAAAATAATTCCACAATAGTAAACTGATAATATTATCTAATAACATACGTAAATAATCTCATTTTGAGTCCAGGTGCAGCCGTGAGTCCCAAAAATGCAAAAAAATGATGAGAGTGTATTAGAAAGAAGGCATAAACGAAATTAGAAATTTCGCAAATTTGGCAGGTTGAGTGGTAGAAGAGGGAGAATACGAGGGGGAAAGTGGTGCACGAAGTTGATGATAGGTAAGCATGTGTAATGGAGTGCTAACTACCGGCCACCTTATGGGAACCAACACGAACAAACAGCCCCACCATCCGAGGATATCATACACACTGGGTTAACACCCGGCTCCATGTATCCTCCTCTCATTTTCCCTCTTCATTTCTCCAGCATTGTTTTTTTTTTTTGACTCTCTCCTCGATTTCCTTCTCCCCCTAACCACCGGGTGAAACGAGGAGGGGGCCATTTGTTGATGTTCCATCGGCAATGTGTGAGTACGTTATGTGGCATGCATGCTGCATTTCTTACTCCTTAGTTTCTCAAACAAGGGGGCGTTACCCAATGGCAGAGACCAGTGGCAGTCAACCCTGGATGAGAAACAAATCTCATTGCAATTTTCAATGTGGCGGTACGAATTTTGAGATAACTAGAGATTAAATCAGAGAGATTATTAAATTAAAAGGACCAGTGTAATGGTTTTTTGAAGCTTAGAGAGAGAATACTCCGTGTGTGACTAATCTTGGGGGTATATTCAAGAAAGATTTATAATTATTTTAGTAATGAAGTTAAATTTCCATAAGTGCATTTTTT